CTGTTGTTCTTCGAGATGTGTTGCTCATGTCCATTCCAATACCTGCTGTCTTACCCCTCTGTCGGAATAGCCGGCAAGAAGGAACTGAGGGGGTGGTGGGTCAGAAGGGCCTATATTGAGCGCCATGAAGGTGTGACCCCAGGGGGCACCCAGGCCGACCCGACGGATACTGCTAGGGAAAAAATTTTTCCGGCTGCCATGCATGCATCACTCACACACCTAATTGGAATGGACATGAGCAACACATCTCGAAGAACAACAGTTATGAGAAGGTTAGTAATTGTTTTATTCACAGGGTTTTCAAGAAAAGAGGTGAAGTGAGATCATTCTCAGAATCTAGAATGTAAGGTGGGCATGATAGATATGTTTATAAATGAGAAGAAATAATATACTTTCGGTCTCTTAAGATGATGTTGTTGTTTTTTATGAAAGCGGAGCAGGAATGGTTAGGCACGCATCAACTGTTACTGGTATTTGGTAAACCAGATTTTGAAGTTTTACCTGTTTTAGACACTTACACTCAGAGTATCAGTAAGGGTAAACTGGACTCGGAGCAGAACAAAACGTGTAGCTATTGATGCCTGTATTAACAATTATTCTTGAGACTTGGTGACTCATATGTAATGCTGTGTAGGTGATGTAAAATAAAAATTCTTGTGTCAACTTGTATAATGCTTCACAATAGCATGCACCCATAGGATCTGATTTTCTCCCAAAGAACTTTGCACTTCTATAATATGTACTATCTGAGGATATCAAAGTGCTTTACAAACCTTAACTACCGAAGCCTCACATTAATTTGTGAAGTAGGTATTCTCCCACTCCGAGTCACAGAAAGGTTGCAATTTCCCCAAGTTCACCCAGCAAATAGATGGCAGAGCTGGGAATACAACCCAGGTTGTCTGACTTGAAATCTTGTGCTTTGAATCTTTTAGGTCACATTCCCTCTCAAAAGTGTGCTGGGAAATGGCCAAAGGAGATATACCTGGTCCCTCATCTCTTTTCCTATTCAGAACAATTCTTAATGCTATTATCTTCGTGTGTGTTAAATATCTTCCAGTACTGAAAGAACCAGCTGAAGAGTCAAATAAGGATATGGATGGCTGTTGCACTGGAGATAAGAGACCTGGAGAGTCCAGAACACCCAGTCATGCAAATAGAGGAAGACCTTCCAAACTGGACCATACCATTCTGCTGGGAATGGACCAACAACGAAAAGCTGAGGGAAGACAAGCTCAAGCCTTATACATTTACTCAAAACTCCAGGAGACTCAAATTCCTGCATTCCGAGCACCTGAGACTAGGACTATCTCCAACTTTGAAGATTGTGAGTTCTTATGTTTGAGTTTGTTTGAAGTTGTTTACTCAGTAAAAATACAGAGGTCAAAAGGGGGAGAGAATAGTACCCTTCCATAATTCTTGCTTATAAAGCACATTGTAAACCCAGTGCACCCACACTTTTCATTGTGTTGCTATAGGTCAGGCATTACCACTACTATAAAATAACTCTTACTCCCGCTGTTATTCAGATAGACAAGAATGCACTTTTAACATTTCTTTCCTCCTGTAAAGAAGTATGTCTTGTTCCTAGCAGCAGAAACTCAAAGGGCCATATTTCCAAAACTACCTGCCTGAATTACACTTGTAAAATCTCTGTATTTGTCCATAGTGCACACACAGACACCACATTTGTACATGTAAAACAAATTGTCATCATATATGCCTATTTGTGCATGTGCAATTACTCAGATATGGGCTTTGTACATATAACGGGTACATGCACAAATTTTGCATATGAAATGTAGACAGCCATGTTAAAAAACCTTGGTCCAGAGAGCTTGTTCAACATGCATTACTTCAGCTGATTGTAACTGAATGTTCGTGCCACCATGTGATTGGCAAATAAAGCACATAGAGGTCTGCTTGGGCGCAAGTAATAGGCCACAGCTTTATAAAATCAGGTAACAATTAACCAAAATGGTGGCCTGACTAAAAATTCTAAGCCCAGTGTGACAAAGCTTTCGCTCCGCCTCGGTGGGTCCCGTGCTTCCATTTAGCGGCGGGCTGGGGTATTCCTCTTTTCCCTCAGAATTTTCCCCAAGCTCTGGGTTTACTGTCCACATCCTGTTGGAGCAGGGTTCCTCCAATCCTCCCTGATGGGGGGATAGGGAGGGGAGCCTCTCAGTCCCTGGTAGCCCCTCCGGGCATGGTGGCAACAGACCAGACACCCAGTTCAGTCTCTCACCTCTGGCAGAGTCTCTTCTCTTAGACCTCCGGGGCCCGGAAGGGCTGTCCACCCTGTTGGGCAGGGATTCTCCTGCGTGGCTTCCCTCCTAATGCGCAGCACAGCTCTCCAGTAGCTCGCCTTCCCCCCTCAGCTCCTATCGCATGCTCCTATCTGGCTGAAGGGGAGGCTTTTAACAGGTTCTGGCAGGCCCTTGATTGGCCCCAGGTGTCCTAATTAACCTAGAGTAACCCCTGTTCAGCTACCAAGGGAAAAGGTCCTGCTTATCCTGGGGCTGATATACCTGTCTCCCTAGTCCCATGGCCCACCGGAGATATTAGTTGGTGGCTCCTCCACAGAGCCGTGAGCATGGGCGTTTACTTGGCACGGTTCACCCCCCTCCCTGACGCCTGGCCCTTTTGCGATGCAAGGGAGACCCTGGCGCATGTATACCTGGAGTGCACCACGTTGCAGTCCCTGTTCTGGCTCCTTCTGACCATCCTTTTACGTTTCTGGCTGCACTTTTCCCCTCACCTTTTCCTATACGCACACCCTATCCGTGGCCCCACAAAGTCTCGGGACCTCCTTGTCAATCTCCTCCTAGCGCTGGACAAAGTAGCTATCTATAAGACCAGGGAGAGGAGGTTGGCTGAGGGAGTTTCCTGCGACTGTGGGGCCTATTTCCAATCCTGCCTTTGCTCACATATCTGGGCAGTTCCTCTGAGCAGTGTCCGCTGGCTCCCTTGACACCTTTGAGGAGCAGTTGGTGCTGTCCGGGGTTCTCTGCTTGGTGTCCCCTTCAGGTTCCCTTTGTTTGACCCTTTGACCTTCACACCTGCCCCTGCTACATTTTTGGTTGTCCCCCATAATTATTTGAGTTCCTGGACCTAGTGGATCCTCTCCAAAGGCTGGGGAAGGATCTTTTAGCACTTCCTGGAACCCAATATGAGCACTCTCCTGTAGCCGTCTGGCCTGACTCCCCCACACTAGCCATTATCTACGTAATCACTGGGCTCATTGGCCCTAAGGTCACCATGATAGGCTCTGCATTTCCAGGGGAACTCAGTCTGCAAACTGAGCATCCGTGTATCTCGATTCTTTTTACAGAGCCCTCACTATAGTATCTGAGCCATGAGCTATATCAGACTACACCCACTGGCCCGCTTTCCCTGTTCATTTGGACTGGTCCAAGAAATTCTGTAAAGCATCCAGCATAGCACAGATAATAATAACAAAGCTCTTAGAAATGACTGCAATGCTCGGCAGTCACCTTTTATGATTTGAATAAAGTGCTTAGGTTTGTGCTCTCCAGATATAGCAGTGGCCAGCTGGAAGTACATGGCTTTGGATGCTCCCGATATAGAATGTACCAGTGACCTAGAGATGATCCTTCTGCCTCTGCTATCCTTGATTCACCCACTAGAATATCCAGCTCCACAACATGAGAGTCAGCACAAATGCCAGGTCCTCAGCCAGCAGCGCTCTTCGTTTTGCTGCCAGTTCCTGAAAAGAGGCTGAAATGTGCTGGCAAGTTTCTGAGTCACAACCCTCAGTGAAAAGAAAGTTGTCCAAACAATGTATAATGGACTTAATCCCCACTTCCCTAATAATTGCCCTTTCAGGATAACAACAAAATTTCCAAAAGCTGCACAGGATACTACACAACTCCTGGGAATGGACTGACAAGGTTAAAATAGCCATCAGCCCTAGCAAGTAAAAGTCTCTTGAGAGCTCAAAGAGGAGGAACAAAAAAACTCCTTTATGTGCATTCGTTAATGCCCTGACCCACCCACACACCTAGAACCTGGCTACAGCCAAATTGAAAGAAGTGTTCTTAACCAAACAGTCCCCTGGAGCAATGTCATCAGTAGCCAGACTCTGGCTCTGGGTATGACAGATGGTAGGTAATGCAGAGCTCACCTTTGGGCTGTTTTGGCACCATGCACAGAGATAGTATCTTCTGGGTCAGGTTGGATACTAAAAATAATTTAAATGGAGCCGCAGCCGTGCCCAGTTGTGCACCCTGTTCAAACCTATGGAGCATCGCCTGTGGCGCAGGGGCAAAGTCAGGATTAATGCCATTGAATATGCCCAGTTTTATAGCTGTTCCCTTTAACTTATTACATTATAATAGCCCAGGGAAAAATGCTGAGATCTGTTCTTAGGCTTGATCTACACTTAAACATTAGATTGACTTAGCGGCACCTTAGAGACTAACAAATTTATTAGAGCATAAGCTTTCGTGGACTACAGCCCACTTCTTCGGATTGACTTAGCTACATTGCTTAGGGCTGT